CACCCCAAACGTGTTCACTGAGGAGTAGGAAGTGGAAACGTGGGGTGGCAACTCAAGCAGAACAAACAAGGGACAATTCCTCTGTCCAGAGAAAATCAACGGTTCCCTCCAATTACCCACTCTAAGTGTCCAGGCAAAGGAAGAGCTTACCAGAATCTTGGAGGTATAGGCACTGTTGATAGCAATGCTATTGACAATAAGGTCCAGGACCTTGGGCACGAGGGCATCAGGGCTTGGGATCTGGTGGTAATGAGTGTCTCCAATGTAAGCCTGTACCACAGTCATGCGGTTCATGGTCAACGTGCCGGTCTTATCAGAGCAGATGGCTGTGGCATTGCCCATTGTCTCACAAGCATCCAGGTGCCGCACCAAGTTATTGTCTTTCATCATTTTCTACAAAGGAGATGAGAACAGACTTGAGGAGGGACCAGTGGAGCTCTGCCATATATGGGTCAAAGGCCATTTTTTATCCAATGTGTCTCCACATCTCATGCTCTGGTCTGTGCAAAAATGCAGGAGACTATTTTTGTGAATCTTCTTCAGATTCTACTGGGTTATCTCACCCTGGATGCCACCGATCAAGATGGTCCTTTCGTCTCTGAGTGGAGCCAGCGGCTTCTGCTCTCGTGAGGGGCCATCCGGGGGTTGTGCAGAGGGGATGGCCTACATTTTCACCGAAGGCTACGGGGCACCCTCCCTTCCCGTCTCTGTTCTACAGGAAGAGACAGCCCTGCTGCAGTCTCACCTTCACAGAGTAGGCCAGTGAAATGGTGACAGCCAGGGGCAGCCCCTCCGGCACGGCCACCACGAGGACGGTGATGCCGATGATGAAGAACTTGACGAAGTACTGGATGTAGATGGGCGTGCACTCCGCCAGCCACGGTCTGCGGTGTATCACGAAGTTCTCGATCACAAAGTACAGGATCAGGATGAGAACCGTGATGGCAGACATGAGGAGACCTGTCCAGCAAATAAGCCACGTTGAGCCCGGGCTCAAGGGTGTCCCCAGGGCCCTCGCCAGAAGGCGGCCAGCATAAGGTGTAGCCTTAGCTACCGAGGTTTAAATCCATTGTCTCTAAGGACTCATGTCCACTTCCCTTACCCATTCTTGGTCGCCTGTACACTGTTGTGTAGGGGAAAGGACGCGGGTTTTGTCCTCCACAGACACCGGTTCTAGTCTCAGCACGATACCCACTTGACTCGTGGCTTTGGACTAGTCACGGTCTCTCTCCCGGCCCGTTTCCTCTTTCGTAAATAAGGAGTTGGTCTAGTTTTCTAAAAGAGCATTTTATGATTCTATCTCAGACCTACCTTCTTTTGACAATTCATAATGTAGTGCCTGCATCTATTTCCTAGGAGTTTAACAATTTGGGCTTCTGCCCCAGGAGCCGGGGAACGTTGGTAATTCACCCGACTTGTCTATAGCGATGACTGTATGGTGTTTCACGTCACCTACGTGGCTAACCTTCAGAACGGTGCTTCCTGACTTTTCTCTTGCCATGGCGTAGACAGAAGATGACAATAATGTGCACGTTTACACTAAGCAAATATTTCTATAATGCTTACTCTACAGGCCAGAGCACTTCACGTGTACCAACTCATTGAATCCTCACAAAACCCCTGGGAGGTTAAGTTAGTATTATCATCCCCTTTCATGAAGAAATTGAGGCACAGAGTTTTTTTTAAAGAAGATCAAAAGACAATTATGATTTTTAAAACATGTTCATCTTATTTATTTATTTAGATCATGGTAAGTGCCGTCTTTCATCCCCAACACCTATTTCACCCATCCCTACACCCACCTCCCCACAAAGGGTTTCTTGGCAAGGGCACCCTAGCTGGGGGACCAACTATTCTGGTTTGCCTGAGACTGAGCAGCTGGGATATGGGACTCTCAGTGGTAAATCAAGAGCGTCCCCAGCAAGCCGGGACAAGCTGGTCGTCCAACAGACTGATATGAATGAAAGAATTTTTTTCAATGTCAGAAAGCAGCTGGCTTAGGGGCTCCAACATTGCTGGGGGCTGCCTGGACACCCCGAAGGCTGAGGGGATCAGAATCTGGGCACCCTGTGCGGATCTGTGGCTCAGTATCTGGGAAAAGCTTTGCTTCAGACCATAGTCTAGGGTGGGTCTTTGCTTTTCCTGAGAACCTAATGATGCAAGAGCATCCGAGCAAGGTTAGAGGAGATTATTTCAATAAAAGCGTATTCTTCTGAATTTTGCTTCAGCAGAGTCAGGGCTAAGGTGAGGTAAACAAGGTGCCTAGGGTCCAAAATTCAAGAAAGCACTCCCTCCCTGGGTGGTACAAAGCACTAGACTTGCCTCCCTTCCTATGGGCCTAGCCTGGAACGTTAACTGAAACGAGAGAGGGGACCAGTGGCTGGCCATCAGGTGGCCTGCACTCCCTAAAGAACAAGGCAGGGGTTCGTGGACAGGAGGGGTTAGTGGGATCTGTTTAATGTTTCACACATGTGTGCCAGGCTCAGTAACTTGATTCCACACCTGCAATTCATGTCTTCCACGTACACTTGATACACAAAAGATTCCACGTGCTCGCCATCAGCTGGGGACTGGAACTGAATGACTACGTTAGACGAATGCTGTCCCAGTGAACTCTGTGATGCTTCCAATGTCCTCCCTTTGCACTGTCCAATACGGTAGCCGCTAGCAATGTGTGATTATCAACCAACTGGTACAAGGCTGATGGAATGGAGGCACTGAATGTTAACTTGTATTTAACTGTAATTCATTTAAGGGGCAACAAACAGCCACACATGGTTAGTGGCTATGGCAGTGCCCTGCAGAAATTCTTGCCACTCAACATGCGGTTAGCAGAGCCGTGGCACTGGCATCACTTGGGGGCCTGTTAGAAATGCAGAATCCTGGCCCTGCCCGGGACCTCCTGAATCAGAATCTGTGCTTTAACGAGATCCCAGGTGAGCTGTCCACGCAGATGTACAGGACTAGACTGACTGTGGTCCACAGAGGGGCAGGGTCAGGAGCACATGATACAGTGGGTTGGGGTCAGGAGCACACGAGACAGTGGGTTGGGGTCAGGAGCACCTGAAACGGTGGGTTGGGGTCAGGAGCACATGAGGCAGTGGGTTCCGGGTCAGGAGCACATGAGAGTGGGTCAGGGTCCGGAGCACATGAGGCAGTGGGTCAGGGTCAGGAGCGCATGAGACAGTGGGGCGGGGTCAGGAGCCCATGAGACAGTGGTTCCGGGTCAGGAGCACATGAGAGAGTGGGTCAGGGTCCAGAGCACATGAGGCAGTGGGGTGGGGTCAGGAGCACATAAGACAGTGGTTCCGGGTCAGGAGCACATGAGGCAGTGGGGTCAGGGTCTGGAGCAAATGAGACAGTGGTTCCGGGTCAGGAGCACATGAGAGAGTGGGTCAGGGTCCAGAGCACATGAGGCAGTGGGGTGGGGTCAGGAGCACATGAGACAGTGGGTTGGGGTCAGGAGCACACGAGACAGTGGGTTGGGGTCAGGAGCACCTGAAACGGTGGGTTGGGGTCAGGAGCACATGAGGCAGTGGGTTCCGGGTCAGGAGCACATGAGAGTGGGTCAGGGTCCGGAGCACATGAGGCAGTGGGTCAGGGTCAGGAGCCCATGAGACAGTGGGGCGGGGTCAGGAGCCCATGAGACAGTGGTTCTGGGTCAGGAGCACATGAGAGAGTGGGTCAGAGTCCAGAGCACATGAGGCAGTGGGGTGGGGTCAGGAGCACATAAGACAGTGGTTCCGGGTCAGGAGCACATGAGGCAGTGGGGTCAGGGTCTGGAGCAAATGAGACAGTGGTTCCGGGTCAGGAGCACATGAGAGAGTGGGTCGGGGTCAGGAGCACATGAACAGTGGTTCCGGGTCAGGAGCACATGAGGCAGTGGGTCGGGGTCTGGAGAACATGAGACAGTGGGTTGGGGTCAGGAGCACATGAGACAGTGGGGCGGGGTCAGGAGCACACAAGACAGTGGTACAAGGTGGTCCCTTGAGAGGTGTGTCCACGGAAGGGGCACTCTTCCTTTTGTTTCTTCCTCCAACCCCTGCCCCAGCCCCCAACAGAAGGTGGAGAGAGTATGTAGAGGCAGGGGCTGGAGGAGCCACTTCCTCTCATGATAGGTGAGAGTGCCCCTAGTGACGCCCTCCTCTGGAAAGAGCCTCTGGAAATCACAGTCTTCCCGCTTCCTCTAGTCCTTGTTCTGCGTTCATTACCACACTTTGCCAGGCCAGGCGCTAGCCCTCCGCTAGGGCATCGCTGCTGGCAAATAGGAGCCTTCTCTCTCCTGAAGGGATTTACAAGCCAATACATGAAACAGGTACGTGGTCGGCCCAGTCTCTTTCTTGCTAAAGTAAATCTCCCCTGTCAGACAGAAGTCCTTTATCTCCTTTCTGTTGGGAGGGAAGAGACCACACAGGGTCTTTAACCCTTGCCCCTCGCACACAGGCGCACACTTCTCTCCAGAGAGGCCCAGGGACTAGCCAGACAGAGGGCAGAGAGAGGGGCGCAGCCACCCTGGGCTGCAGGAGCCCCTGGGAAGGGTCAGCTTCCTTCTGCCGGCCTGGCTGGGACAGAAGGTGGACAGCCACAGTGTCAAGGATCCGGAGTGGCCCCAGTAATGAGAAAATTCTGCCCTACTCACCGGCTTTCCCGATCTGAACAGCCAAGCGCGTCAGCTTGCCCTGCAGCACCGACTTCTCCTTTTTGGGCAGCTTGGTCACCTTTTTCTCCTTTTCCTCATTGTCGATCCCCTCCTGGCTGTTGAGTGGCTGGATTTCGAGGGCCACTCCGTCCTGAGTCTTTGCTAGGGTGTGCACACAAAACAGAACAGGTGAGCGCACTAGCTGGCAGGACCAAGGAGCAAGCGCATGGGAACCAAAACTCCTGTCTCCTTCCCGGAAGTCACCTGGACCCCCGGCATCAGCTCTGGCCGCTCTCACCCCAAGACAGGCAAGGGACATGACTTCCACCCTCTGCTAGGGCCTTTAGAATGATATTCTGACGATGAGAGAGGAAAGGGGAGTGCTTTGAGGGTATGGATCTCCTCTTCAGTGGCAGCTTCCTGGCACCACCTCAGAGCCCCAAGCCAGGTTTATTCCAGCAAGAGGATTGGTCATGCCACTAAGTGCTCTTACCAACAACCATCCTTCCTGGAATTCAGCGCTTAAAATAGTGAATCTTTAGTGCAGAAAGGGGCTGACAGGGAAGGCTGGCAGATTTTTTCCAGAGCATAAGGGTCCTAGTCTGCTCTGTTAAAAGGTTCATCTCTTTCTCCTTTTAGACCATCAGGGAAGAAACACAGACCCCCAAACAGGGTATTTTCCAGTTCCTTCTTATATCAGTTGAATGACTGGGGAAGGAAATGTCCTTTCTCCCCTGTCTGACAAAGGTGGGGACATATAGAGCGGGGAGGGTTAAGTCTTTTGGGGGAGAGGGAAGAAGCTGGTAGGAGGGACCCTCTGGAATGAGAGGGATAAAGACAGACATATAAATCCATTTTGCTTTCCAAAGAAGAGTTAAAGAGACCTAAAATTAAAGAATTATTTCTGTGAGGCCCTGCTTCTCCAATGTGATGACTTTATTCCTAAAGACTACTATGACGTGGGTACAAAGGAAAAAAAAAAATCTCCAGTAGCTGTCTCAAGAGAGCCTTTCTGGCCGGTTCCCACCCTCCCCCTCCGGCTTCACCCCTGCATAGCTCGGCTCTTTTGCTTACGATGCCCTTCCTGAGATACTGTCTCTGTTGTCAGACTCCACAAACAAGACAGAGACAGGATGTAAACACAGCCACCAAAAAAGAAACACACACCAGATCGGGAGGAAGAAGACAGACGGCGAGAACAAAGAAGGAGGTGGGGAGAGGTACAGAGAACGGGCTCTGTCCAAGCACCCCAAGAAGACTAGCAGAGAAGGATCCAGGCCAGAAGAGGACACCGATGAGGAAGCTAGCAAGAGGAGGGTGCAGGGACTGCCCACCCCAACTCCCTCCACTGTCGGGACCCTGAAGTCTTCTAGCCCAGAAACAGATGACCATGACCATGACCATGACCGTGGGTGTTTACATTCGGCCTAGGGCGGTGAAGCGGGGAGTTCAGCGGCCCGGGGAAGAGCAGATCCTTCCCACCTGCTCCTCAAGAGAAACCTTGACAGGAGGGTCCGTGAGACAACAGCAGGGGGTGCTGTTGTCGCATCATAGATGGGGACCAGGACCTGGTGACCACCCCTAAAATCTCTGCACCTTCCTCAGGATGAGGCATCAGGCCCCGGAAGCAGATAACAGATTATGGAGAGGGAAAGGGAGAAGGCAGATGGCCTGGAAAGGTCTGGTTTGAGTGTGGGCAGGTAGACATGGTAAATGAGTGGGTGGAGAGGTTACCTTTGTTGCGATTTTCAGGGACTCCTTGTTTTTTACCTGTTTGAACAAGAAAGAGAAAAGTGGGGTGGAGACCCAAGGTGACTATTAAGAGATCAGGTATCTGATCTGCTGGTCCCGCTCTGAGCCCAAAAGGGCCACCGCAGAAAGGGGTGGAGTGGCGGGGAAGGGAAATGGAAAGGAAGTTCATGTCTCTGCTCACATCCATGCCTCCTCGGGGCGCGCAGGACCACCGGGATGCGGACCAGACCTCTCACGCAGGTGAGCGCACACCCGCGCCAGGGCTGCTGGGAGGCTGTTCCCAGCTCGAGTCCCATCACTCGCAGAAATGGGGAACAGAAATGGGGTTGGAACGGATTCTGCCTGATGGCAGAGGCTCTGAAAGGTATCTCTGTCCGTTCACCGGCACCAGGCCGGCTTCCTCCTTACGCATCAGCAGGTGGCCTACAGTCTAGTTCCCGACGGAACGGGTTTTGCTTCCTTCTGATACACTGCCCTCCACGGAACAGCCCAGATGGTCCTCCGGCCAAGTGACAGAAATCCTTCTCTTCTCCAAGGAAAGAAGGAATGCTGAGGGAAAGGTTGATCTCTCCTTAGTATCTTTTTCTCATTTACCTTCCTTCCTTGTTTGTCCTTCCTTTAGGAGCAAGTGAATGGCAAAGATGGGACTAACTTTGGGGGTAGACGTTACCTCTGTGTTCCTGCTCTCCCAGCTGTGTCTCTCTTCCACTGTGAGCCCAGGCTTTCAGCAGACTTCCCTCAGCCTGGACGGTTCGCTCACTGCCTCACGTTTGAGGGAGGAGGGGCAAGCATTGGGGGACTACGCAGAGGCCTGCTGGGGCCACGGCACCCAGCCGGCTCATTTGGGGCAAGCTTTACATCTCTCGCCTTTACAACCCACGAACAGACACACAGGAGTTGAGGCTCAAAGGCGACCAGATTTGGTTTTCATCAGAGCACCCTGGGGAGCCAGGCTCGACATCTTTATCTCTGCAAGAAGTCTGGATATCTGCATTCTTCATCCAGCAAATTCTTCTCACCAGGCATCCCATGCACGTCTGGTCCCTTGCTTCCTAGTCTGGCCATGGGGACCGGAGGGTTCACAATCTCATCCCACATCACCTTACCTTTTTTCTTCTTCTCCTCCTCTTCTCCCTCACTGGCTCCCAAAAGGGTAAAGATGATTCCAGTCTGGGAGTTGATACCCACAGCAGTTACTACCATCCGGCCAGAACCTTCCATGACATGGGTTCCTATATGAGAAAGGAGAAGATGGAAGGAGGGTTGTTTCTTTTACCTAGCCATGCTTTGGTGTGGAACACAAACTTAGAAAAAAACAGTCCCTCTTCCTCCCCCATGGATAATGATATACTCAGCAGATAGCAGGAAAAGGTCAAGAGCTGGACCCATTTAAAATAGACCAAGCAAATTGGGGGGTAAGGAGAAAAATGTGTCTAGCTGCTTTAGAGCAAGGCTCTTTCCCTCATTCCCCAACCACTAACCAGCAGAGCCCTATCGAGGCCCCTACAGCACTCGCTTCACAGAGAACCTCTTTTCGATTGACTGATAACCTTGTATTCAACCCACTAATATGCTCCTGCCCCAAATGAACCCAGGGGAAGGAGATGGGGCAGGGCCGGAATAGAGGGCAAGGCCTGGAGCAGCCAGAGGCCATACCTGACAGCAGCATTGGGTCTCTTTCCAAGGACTTCTTGACATGGTCTGATTCCCCAGTCAGAGAGCTCTCGTCAATCTTGAGATCATTCCCCTGGATCAGGATCCCGTCTGCAGGCAGCAGGTCACCTAGTGTGCAGAGGGGAAGGGGCGACAGGGAAAGAGGGGACGGAAGAGCTTGTCAGAGGGTGGGAACCATCCAACCCCATCTCAGGGCTGCTCCCATGGGCCCTACCTATAGGACAATGGCCCAGATGGCACCAGGAAAGAAAGCCTCTGAAAGACGGCTTCATCTCTCAGCACCTGAGATAAGACTCCTTAGGAATTCAAAGAGTAACTTCTTCCCCAACACCTTCCCATGGCCTTAACATCATGTACTTTTAAACCTGAGACACACGGGGTACAGGTGTGACATTCTTTGGGGAGACTTTCTTCTTTCTTTGAATCCTTCTCAATAACCTCCTTCAACTAACCTAGAAGCTAATGCCGTTTGGGGTTTTATCTTTCTGGGTCCTCAGTGATTCCCAGCCCCCTGTGCCAAAGGACCCGGCGCTCAGGTGGGGAGGACGACATAGGTTCGAGAAGCACGAGCTCTCACCGTATTTGATTTGGGCGATGTCACCCACCACAATCTCGGCCACAGGCAGCTGGATGATGTGGCCATTTCGGATCACAGAGAACTTCTGCTCCTTTTCAATGCGGTTCTGCAGCCCCCGGAATTGCTTCTCCTTGCTCCAATCATTGAAGGCAGTCACCAGCACCACGATGATCACGGAGAACAGGATGGCTGCGCCCTCAATCCAGCCAGCTTCTGCCTCTCCTTCATCTTCTGGGCTACTGACAGGCAGACCACACTCTGGCCCCGGGAAAGGACAGAACATAAGGGTTACCAGGGGGCACTAGTGAACACTAAAAATGGGAGGAGTGTTTCCACAACCCCCCAGAATGGAAAGTCAGGGAAAGAGAATAATTAGAAAACACGACCCTTGGGCAGGTGATCTATCCTCCGAGGACACTGGAGGACAGCAGGGCTGGGCGTCATGTCATCACCAATATAAGCATTTATGTTAGCCCAAAAGAAGTTAATGAGTAAGTAGCACAAAGCACATCAGTACAAATTACTGGCCAGTCATATGCATAGAACTTACGATTCCCAACAAGGCCAGGCCCCTGCTCTGGGCTCTAGGTCACTGCTATTTCCCATAATGCCAGATAATTGGTGGGGAGCACTTTGAGAAGCAGGTTTTGGTGGTTGGGTGAGGGTAGAAGTATTCTGCATAAGGATTTGGTGGGAGAAGGGGAAGAAGACTCTGGAATCAGGATGGGTTGAGGAATGGCTGACCAGCTACTCGTTGGTTTTCTTTGGAGAACCCACTCTGGAAAGAAGGGTCAACTTTTAAGCTACAAACCTGTCAATCATGAATACTAGTGCTTTTTTGGTGGGAGTGGAAAGAACAAGGATCAGAGTCATGCCAGGCTGTTCTAGACACTCACGTTCATTTTCTTCCCCAGGGGGGCGATAGAAGGACAGGACAAGGGAGATGATGGCTGCGATCTCCAGGATGATGAGTGTGACATCTTGAAGGGCTTCCCACACCAGTTCTAAGAAGGTCTTGGGCTTTTTGGGGGGGATGAAATTCTGTCCAAATACTTGCTTACGTTTCTCCAGGTCCGTAGGGTTCCCAGATAGACCTGAAATGGAGATATGAGTGGGAGGAACAGGTAAGAAAAACAAGGGGAAGAAATGAATGATGGGAGAAGGAGGTCCAAAGCTTCTTGAAATAAAGACCTCCCTGCTTCCTGTTCCACCCAGGTAGGAGATCCAGTTAGGGTGACCAGTCCCCGCAGTTTGCCCAGGACGCAGAAGGCTGTGAAACCTTTAGTCTCAAAATGGGCAAACTGGGACAAGATGGTCACAGGGGGTCCTTCACTGTTCTTAGTGTCCAGGGTGAGCTCCCTGGGATCTGAAACCTCACTCCTCTCACCAGTAGGCTGCAGGTTCCAGCTCTAAGAACACAAACATTCAAAGGGTTCCTGGTGCTGACAGAACTTTTCTCTCACATTAAACATGTATCTGCTGTTGCTGATTTCAAAACTGAGTTAGCTTCCATCCACTGGCGCATACACAAAGGCCCGAAAGAAGTAGCTCTCTGCTCAAGGTCATGCTAGGAGGCTGGCAGACAGGGCCCAACCAGCTGTCCTGATTCCAAGTTCCAGGGGCTTCCAGAGATCAACAGGAAGGGCTTTTAGCCTCCTACTCGGGGTGCCCAGGTGCAGTGCCCATTCCCTCCTTGTCAGTCCCCCACCCACACACAGACACAGACACCTAGCGCTAAGAGGTACTATCACTCTGTTAAGTACTGTGTACTTAGTACTACTGAGACTAAGTTAGGTATTAACAGGACCACTGTTACTCATGTTGAATAAAAAAAGAACAAAAAGGTGAAGCCATGAAGTCAGACAGTACACAGTGCTCGGTTAACCGCATCTCCCCATGACCACACACGTCCTATGTGAGCACACTTGCCGGGTCCAGGCATGTGCCAGGAGAGGGGAGGGACAGGCAGACTTGTTTCCTGGGCCTTCTTTATCTCAGGCCTTATATTTGGGCCCCTCTGCTGGGCTGTCAGGGAAGGAGGGAAATCCTAAGACTTCAATTAAAGTTGTTTACACATAGCAGCAAGTAAGGCAGGGTTTTCTCACGTAAAGTTGTTGGAGGCCCTGTTCATGGGCTCCCAGGCATAGGCGGGGGGAGGGGAGGGTGATCTTTGTCTTGGAAAAAAGTCCTTGCAGAGGAGAGTTAGAATCAGAGGACAGGGGCACTCCAGCAAGCATCACAGCACATGAGGGAAAGCAAGGAGAACGGGGAGCTACTGAGGCCAGAGACGTCCTCACACTGGAGTCCATGCGAGGGGCTATTACCCTGGTGCGGACTGGGGCATGGCGTGTGGGCAAACCTCTACTCCCCATCTCCACTCCATAGGAACCAAGAGTGGTACCTTACATGGTGAGAGGAGAGATTTGGGTCAGACCAAAGGAAGACATTTGGACAGAAAAAGACTGAAAAATGGGAAAATAGGTCCCTAAGGGGGTATTGCTTGCAGGGCCTGAGAGGGCTTCCCTTTCTCTACCCAAAAACCAAAACCAACAGGGGAGGTCCTCGAGACCCTAAGCTGTCCGGGTGGATGGACGCAGGACCCTCCATGGAGGGGAAGTGTCGGGGGATGGATGGGCATCTGCACTTGTGCAGTCGGGGAAGGGAGGTCACTCTGGGCGGCCAGTGCTTCGAAGAGGGAAAACAGGGAGCAGGGCAGATGTTCTTATCTGGGCCCTCCTGCCTTCTGGTACCCAGATGCACCACACTAGCCTCCGACTGAACAGGGCTGAGCGGCACAGCCAAGCTCCACAGAGGAGGGGGTTTGGCCAAAGCACTGGAAGCAAATTGAGCTGCTTCCCAGAGGCTCCCTGTGTCCACTGCTCTGGGAAGTCAGGTTCCCAGTGGGGAGGGAAAGCAAGGGCCTGGGAAAGGAGTGTTTCTGGGCAGGACCTCTTGACCCCCAGGCAGGCAGAGGCTGAGCAGTCAGGGGGTCCTGGCTGGCTCCTTCTCCCCAAGGACCTGAGAGCCGGGGGCTCTGCCAGTTTGGGGCTGCTGTACTGGAGGCCAGGTTGGCCTGAGGGAAAGGAATTCTGATCCTTTGTTCATCTCCCTGGGAAGCAGCGAGGAGATGCCATTCCTCCCTTAACGAGGTGAGGGCAAAGCACACAGCAGGTATTAGATATCATCTCAAGGGACATTCAAAGAGCCCAGCAGAGGCCAAAACAAGAGCAGTGAAGACAAAGATCTGACTGAAAGCCCCCATCTGAGGTCATCCTGCCCTCTCTGGTCTCAGATTAATACCCATGACCACCCTTGCCTCCTCTCTCTCTCTCCTCACTCTATCCATGAAGCCAGCATGTCCTGGCAGCTTTATCTTCAAAGAATACCGAAGGTCCTCTCACGTCTCACTTTCCACTGTCACCATCCTGGTCTGAGCTGGCACTGCCTCTCGCCTGGGTGATGACAGCCATCCTCTAAACGGTAACCTTGTTCCCACCCTAGCTGTCCTGTGCCCAGTCCTCCCAACACAGTGGCCAGAATGATCTTCTTCAAACCCACCCCTGCCACTTGCCGACCCAGAATCCTCTGCTGGCTTTTACTGGGACTGAAACTGGGCTCCGAAGCCGTTATGATGCTCTGTAAGGCCCCTTAAGAGCCCCTGGCCTCCCACCCTTTAACTCCTACTGTCTGCTCCTGGTTCACTGAGCTCCAGCCTGGCGAGCCTTCCTGCCATTCCCTGAGTGCGTTAGACAAGCTTCTATCTCAGGGCCCAGCACCAGCTCTCTCCTTGGCTCAGCGGGCTCCTCACGGGCTAGGTAGGGCTCATTCTCTTACATCTTTGGGGTCTCTGCGCACATGTCCCCTTCTCAGTGAGGCCGACCCTGACCATCCTATTTAATATTGTGGCTTCTCTGCTCCAGGACTCCATGCCCCTGTCCTGTGCCAGTGTTCCCCTCCACAGGTCTTCTCCCTGAGACAGCCTATGACGCATTCCCTTAGGAGGTCTGTCTGTCGCCCTCCACAAGGGCAGGACTTTCGTCTTTGTCCCTCAGGTCTATAGCAGTGCCTGGCACATGGCACGCATACCAATGTGCTGAATGAACTGAATGGATGAGTAATAAATCAGGCTGCTAACATCTAAGTGATTACTATGTGCCAGATGCTTCAGCGGGCACGCTAGTGTCTCCTCATCCAGACACCGCAAACCCCTAGGTGGCAGCTACTGTGAACCCCATTTTACATTGGAGCCGACTAAGGCCTGGGGAGGTTATGTAAGCCGTAGGCAGAGGTGACACCACACCCCGGGCCGCAGCTGGATGCCAGGCCAAACACCGAAGGGGCCCGGGGGTGGGGAGCGGCTACACTGAGGCTGCACTGCGGGTGACTGACTGGTCCCTGGTGTGCCTGGGACCTCCCGGGCAGTGTCACTCAGGCTCTTGCCCCGCTCCCCCCTAACGGAAACTGTAGCCCCCCTCAGTCCCAGGCCAACAGGATGGTCGGTCACCCCGCTTCCTTCGGGGCAGAGCAGCCCACGTGCCACTCTCATCTGCGCCTCGAAGTCAGTCAGCCCTGTTCCCACTGTTCGCGCCTGCGCTGAACTAGTCCTGCCTTCTTCCTGTCCTCAGAGCTGGTGACACCAGGCCCGTCAGAGTCCAGCCTATGGATCTTTTGGACCCAAGCAAACCAAATGAGCCTCATTAAGGAGAGCAACAAAAGGCCAGGCCTGGCTCCTGCCTAGAAGCTCTCAGAGTCACACACTTATTGCCTTTTTGCCATTTTCTCTCCTCTGTCCGCTCCACCTTAAGAGACCGACCCTCAGCTGTTGTGGTGGCTACCTTAAGTTGGCAAGTGGCTGTCCCAGTTCCCAGCATGCCCCAGGCAGGGTGGGGTGGGTGGGGGCTGGAGCCTCACGGCCTTGGGAATCCTCTCTCTGGACCTGTGGCGGGGGCACGGGAAAGCCATGCGGGACTGGGAGCTCAGCCAATCCCCAATTTTGGGCTTTCCATTCCATTCTTCCTGCCCCCAGAGGCTCTCAGGCCCTGCTCTCCGCAACTGTAATTTCACAGAAATACTCGGCCAACCAAGGAGAGGGTATGAGTCCCCGATCTCTGCAGTTGCTTCGAAAATACTCGCACAGCTTCCTGGAGAGGGGAAGGAACACTTGGCAGGGAAAGAATGCTAGAAACGCAGGAAAAGGATTCCCCTTAGAAATACATTAAAAAAATAAAAATGAGAGGAATCTTTGTCCCCAAGAACATGAGCGAGAAAGCCCCACCCAAATCAGGAGTACTTTTGGCCGTAAGAACCGGACTGAACACATGAGCTGGGAGAGGCGACAAGAATGTCAGGCTGTGAGGTCATCACCCCACCCCATGCTGGGGAGTTACACAGCCTCTGCTAGCAGGCAGCGGTGGAAAATCTGCGTCTGCTGTGAGCCTGTGCAGGGAATCAGCACTTGGGAGGAGAGGCTGCAAGCCTAGCCCTCAGTGGCCTGGGTCCAGCAGGGAAGGGCCACGGCCATCCTCCCTAGGACACCAAGGACTGCGGCAGAGGCACCCCTTATGAGAACCGGCCCAGCCCCAGAAAGGGTGGGGTGAGGTTAGACATCAGGAGGGACTTCCCAGCTGTCTGAGTTATGCTGCCTTGCCAAAGAGACAGCAGAACCTTCTCCCACACAGCTAGTACAAGGGAGAGGTTTCTCGTGTTGATTCGAAGGCAGTCAGCTTTGGTGCATGAGAACAGACATTGGAATACCTCTCAAGTCCGACGAAAGAAAGACGCCTTTCAAGTCCTACCTGAAACACCTCGGACTGGGGGCTCAGGGGAGGAGGAGCTCAAAATCAGTACGGGGACCACAGGTTTTAACCAAATGCCACTTCTCGAAGAGGCCGAACATCTCCCTACATCAGCATCTGCGGCTCACCACACCCAGAGCTGGGAGATGTGCTCTCAGTCTGCCGGAATTCCAGCCCCTAGAGATAAAGCCGTCTGTCCCGGGTGGCAGACTTTGGGAAGAATGGCTTCTTCCTCATTCTCAGTTCAGAAAGGCAGCACGTCTCCTGCTGTCTGGCCCTCCATTCTGCGCCTTTTCTGC